AATCCCTGTTCTACATTTCAAGTTAGACGTTAATAAACCAGAACATTATCTCACTAATTATGTTACTCACTGATCATCCATATTTTGGCTGTGAAGTACTCTTTGCCTGCCTAATGGTAAAGTCCACATACATTCTCAGCTTGAGCATCTGTACTCAGAAAACGCATGCCATTATGTATAGGGTTTATAGGCTAGACATGCCAGTGAAACAGCACTGATGCTGGAAAGGAGAAACTAGAAGAGCTATTTGGCTCAGATATTCTAGAGAATGCAATAAAAGAATCAGTTTGTTAGTCAGCAAGAAAGGTTTAGCAATTTTTGTTCAACAAAAAAGCCAGCCACTTTTAGGTACTGGAATCCAGAGTAGGGAAAAACACATTAACTGAAAAAAAAATTATTAATGGTTACTTTTCTCATTATCGGAGTACCATAAAATTATAGTTGAGTTTCAATATGCATAATTGCTCCTTGATGGTTCTTGTTGAGCAATTTTGTTCAATAACGGTCTGTCAATACAATTTGCTTTCAACTGTCACCTTCTATAATATCAAGAATAATGGGCTCACTCAGGTGCACTTTGAAATTATAGGAAAATATTAATTTTAGGGGAAAGAAAACTGATAATCACTTGCTTTAGTATTCTACAGTTGTCTGAGGTTTTTGAGAAGCTCCATATAAAAAATGTGAATATTACCATATATGTGGTTTGTTGATATAGTCTGAATACTGAACACTATGGAGAGAAGTGGGGAGATTTGCTTAACAGGGACTTTTCCATAGTTACTCATAGCTTGACACTCATTTCTAGTTGTTAACAAAAAAAAAAAAATCAGAACTTGAAAGAAACAACAGTAAAGGTATTTCGTTTCCCTCCCCTTCTTTCTGATCCATCAGGTTTATAATCTCTCCAACACCCTCCAACAACAGCAGCAAACCATACCATTTTCTACATCTAATTTCTGCCAGGTGATATGGGTTTACATTCGCATTATGTGTGACTGAAATCAAGAGATGCAAATACACAGCTGGAAAAGGGAACTAAGAGATCTTCCAAAATGGAGCAAACACTACTAGTTTGGGCAAGTAAGAATTTGAAAAAAATTGAAGCAGCACTGCAACTTAGCTATTTATTTTCAACATGCACACGTGTATATGTGCCCCTGTAAATATGAAGAAATGGCTAAGCTTCTTTGTTCATGCCAACATATGTATGATGAGGATGTAGACTATTGGACACTTTAGAATTTCTATTCAATTTTTGCAAGGATTTGAGAAAAGGTATACTTTGCTTTTGTGAATCCATTGGTGATGAACCATTACAATATAGATTTGCATCAACTAAGTCGTGAATCTGTACTGCTAACAGGTGGGATAATGAGAGACTAAAAAACCTGTGACAAAAATAACAGCTAAATGAAAAGGAAGCTTTTCTCTTTAAAGGGACATTTTTTTTTTTCTTTCTTTCTCCAAAAACATAGGACAGATCTTTGCAGACCTCCTGAAGGCCTTACTTCTAATGAAACATTGTATGGAAGTGGCAGACTTCTGATGAACTATCAAATATAAATGCTATTGCATTAGTATAGCTATGATTAGCTTTTAAAAAAAAAATCTACTTTTTTTTTTTTTTTTTACATCTTTTATGAAGAAAGATGTCAAGTCCCATACCTGCAACACAAATTCATCTTTAGCCTTAGGTTGGCTATAACCTCTGTGCAATGTAAAACCCAACACCAGATTACAAGCAACTCAACACTGGCTGTCAATGCAACAGTATAAATAAACGCACTGCCTCCTCCCCTTGCCTGAAGTGGAAAAACATAAAAGGAAAACAAGTGCTACTCTGCTCTGCCAAGAAGTTTTCCAGGTACTTCTCTGGGAGTCTTCCCAGTTTAGTTCTTAGTATTTAACTTCAACAACATATCTGGGGAATTCTGTAAAAAAAATTACTTTAAATGTTTCTTTCTTCTTTTTTTTTTTCTTTAATAGGATTTTTTTTTTTAATTTTTCCTATTTGGACTATTCTGGAGTAAATCTAGCACGTAGTTTGAGTTAAATGCTTTAGTAAATAAAACCATCTCACTGTCTTTGTTCCTCGTGACCCTTATAGAAGAATAATGCAGGCATTTTAAGCTTTCCACGTAGTTTAATTCACCTAAATCTTACACAGAAGCTATACATGAATTAGTGTATAATTTAGCAAAGTTATTAAATGGTAACTATTTTTGTTAGGCTTATGACAGGTACTGTTCAGTATGAGCTCAACAATCTCAGATAATGGAGGTGAGGTCACAGCGCCACCAGAGGCAGCAGTCAAACATTCTTCCCTCTAGTACAAACACAAAATCAGCAATTCTCTCACTTTTAGTAAGAGAGGGAAAAGGCTGGGGACAGGGGAAGCAACAAGAGTCCAGGGGACAGATGATTTTGCTCACACATTACTGTTAAAGAGCCAGAAACTGCCACGATAGCATGGGTATTAGTCCTTGAAAACCTTATGGGTGGAGTTCATAGAATCAGAATAGTTTGGGTTGGGTTGGATAGAATCATGAAGATTATTCGGTTCCAACCCCCTTGCTGTGGGCAGTGTTGCCCTAGATATCTGTTTGTTGGTAAAGCAGTATTCAGAAAAAAGGTCAGGTACTGAGTGCAATGTTTTTCAACAGGAAGGGACAAAGGGTGCCTTCCTTCTCTTTGCGCTCAAGTGACTACTACTAAGGATGAACTTTTTTACTGAATCATAAAGAGTAAGAGATACAGTTCTGACTTTCTCTCATCTCAGATCAGTACTCCCTTCAACAGAAGATTTTTTTTCCTTCAAAAAATACAGCGAGTGTATTGGTTTTGGTTCACACATATAGCAAAGTTGATTTTAGTAATTTAGAAAGTCAGTGTGCATTGAAAGTGGCATCCTCTGGACATCACTGCAACAAAAGGAGGCAATACAGAGTTAAGATTGTGCTTAACTGTCCACAGGAGAGGAACTGTTCACTTAAAGAGAAGTACTATGGATAAAGTTGTTAGGATACATATCTTAATAGTAGTTTCTGACTATTAATGCGGAGTTTCTTGCCACCTGCCCACTCCTACACCAACAATCTTTCTCAAAGAAACACAAAACTTCCATTGGATTTGTCACATCTCCTTAGTGGCTTTCAACTACCTGATATTCTTCGTTTTGCAAAAGATGGGCAGCATTTGTCTCTCTCTATGGGGTTGGTTCTGGGCTCTTTTTTGTTATTGATGTGACCAAACAGCATTTCTATTTTTATCCTGTTTTGAATATTTCATCAGATCGAATTCTTCGTAAAAGACACTTAATAGCAAGAGATTATGAAACACTCTTACTAGTAATCACACTAAAAGTTATGACTTAAGTCCAAAATGTGATGCTTTACAAACACTCAGAAAAACAGCAGTCCTGGGGATCTTAAAAATGGACAAGAAAAACTTGTAAGTAGCTAGGTGAAAAGCCAATTTATTAATGAAGTTAAGGCATATTTAAACTAATAGAATCAGTGATACGCTACACATAACACAATATTCAAAACAGAGAATTCAGGGGAGGGAGGGTGCTGGGAGTATTTCTTCTTCCACAGAGCTGTTTTGTGACAGATACCATTCTCATTGTGATGCTGACTGCCAAAATTGCCTAATGACTATTGAATAACGAAATATCCTTCGGAGAAAATATATGAAAAGCATTTTACAGACTGTTGACAAAAGACACCTAAAGAGTCAATGAAAAGACATTAAAGTTGCTCAGAAGCTTATATTCAAAGAAAGAAAGCAAACAAAGAAATAATAGCACTTAAATAAATAAATAAGTAAATCCCATATTGAGTAACATGTATTGATGAGGCTTGTAATTTTCACAATGGATAAAACAAGGCACAAAGAGGTAGAGCATTTTCTTTTGTATAGCAAATCAATACTACATACGCCATCCTTCAGATTGCCTCCTAATTGTACCATAAGACAATTTTTTCTCTTTAGCCAAAAACTGTAAGTAACATTACTGGTAAGAGGTCCTGAAAGGACATAGATACCACATTAACCCATGTATGGATTAATTCTGCATATACATATGTAGCTTGGAGAGAAACAGGACTGAACTGTAATTCAATTTTAACCATAATTAAGATACCGTTATTTCCTCTTTGTTTATTACCTTTGGTGACAGATGGTTTTTAATGGCTCCAGAGAATGGAGAAACAAAAAATCTTCCTGGGAACTCTTCTAGCCTATCTGTATTTCCTGCTTCAGCCCTGTACCAGAGAGCAGCCTATTTACCTGGCACTGTGTTCTTATTCTTAGTCTACATTCAACCACAAGCCAACCCTCTAAGCCCTCTGTGCCACCACAGACTCATAGCACTGCTGGAGACCTAGCAAGAAATGGTGCAATGTGCTGTGCTGACAACAGAAACCATGGAATTTTCTCATTTACTGTAAAGGAGAATTAAAGTAGTTCAAATTATTCTAAAAAGTTATTTTTAAGAATTAAGGCTGTTTTCATGAGATAGAAGTCACAACTATGGAAGCATAAAAAAGAGTCAAACTCCATTACTTAATTAAATTTTTCCTTTCAAATTTTTGTTTTACGTCCATGTTTTAGCAAGGAAATGCAAATTTTTAGAGAAGAGTCATAGAGTCACAACAGTGGGATTTTACAAAGGCATTTTTAAAGTGTTGTTTCCCTGGTGCACACAGGTGTGCTCCATGAAACACTTGATTTAAGGACACCAAGCTTTCTCTTGAAGTATTTAGGTTAACTGCTTTCCCTCATACTTTCCCCTATACAGTGATTCAAGGAAAATAGCTAGTCCTTGAAGAGTAACTTCTCTTTTCCATTTCTTTCCAGTTTGACTTTTTAATCAGAAGGGACATCTGATCTCCTCGTGTAAACAGTATCAAATTTTGTCTCCCTGAGAGCTGTGGAGAGATGGTTCAGAGGGTGAAGAGAAAAATTAATGTGGGGAAAAAGGCTGGAATACCTACCAGAGGAAATGCTGGGGGGTAAAGATCCACCCCCTGAGACTGGATGTGAGGTCAGGATGCTATTTAAAAATCCCGCCCTCAGGAATCTCGAAAGAGACTTCACCCCAATGGTCGGAAAGGATCCTTTCAAAGAGATAAAAATGATCATTAATCAAATGACTTGTTCTTTGGCTGATAAAAGAAGCTGTCTGTTTAAGGAAAAAAAAACGAAAAAACAACTCTGCAAAATTAACAGTGGTTTCACTGGAACAGATCTTACAAAATACAGTTCAATGTTTTTGATTGCTTTTTATCCAAGTCACACAATATACAGCTGCAACCAGAAGGAAGTTGTTTTCTGCATACTTTGCAAATGAAGAATCCCAGCTTTTCTAGGAGGAATGGAAAAAAAATGAGGTTTTAAAGGAAAAATACACCTCTTAGATATTCATAATGCATTCCAAATGGTTCTACTGTAAAGGCAGTTTACAGTTTCGTATGCAAATCAAAAAGAGACTAGTAGAGGTGAAGCTGTACCAGTAGAGCTGAGTTTTATGTCAGTACTTCCAAGACAAGCCATTTGAAAGCACTCGTGCCAGGCCAGGGCAGTTGGGGAACCAGAGTTAGTGGTAGGACAGCTAACACAGATAAGCCAGAGCTTCTATCAGATCTCCAAACACCTGTCAATACAGGGATGCCAGCAAAAGTCAGGAGTATAGATACAGACTCTTTCCACTTTGCTACCATCAGAAGCTTTGCATGTTTCACCCTTCCAATCAAAAGAGTCCATGTTTTCATTGCCTAAATGCATAGATTCATCTCAGATTATCTCATCCATCCATTTTAAATTAAATACTTGTGATATATCTAAGATAGCACTGATAAATAAGAGCTCTATCATTCGATCCACTCTTTCAGCTTTTAGCATAGGCACAGAGATTGAGAGACATTGTTACAGCTGGCTCATGTTAGTGCTCACTGAGTGCCAGCATTGAAGCTGTATCTGAAAGGAGAGCTCTGCATCTTGCATAAAAATAGAATCAAGATTCTCCAAACTTGCAATAAATTTAAGCTGACAATCAGAATAATTTGTTTGTTTTTGCAAGTACATCAAGCAAGCATCCATTCAATAATGTAGGCAATGATAAGTTTGTTTTCATCACCTTACAGGTATTTCACAGCTGATTCTGTAGAAAGAAAAAACATCCCTCTGAAAATTCATGCAATTATGGGTTTGTGTTTGCTTTTTGAATTAATACAAATACAAGTGAGGATTATTTAGGTTTAAGATGTATATATGCATTTTCTGAGCTTAAAGTCTAAGTGAGCTTTGATTTTTTTACTTTCTAGCAAGAGATCTATTGTTTCTTCTCAATGTATTTTGCACTTGCCATTTAAATTTGTTAGACCTACCATAGTCTTGGGGAAAAAAAAAAAAAAATCCATTAATTAAGAGTTCCGAGCATAGCATTTTCATATCTGATGGGCAAAGATATATAACAAAAGCATTCCCTCAGGCTATCCCAGAAAACCCTAAATTTGGCAGTCTTGTCAAAGTGTTTCCAAACTCCATGGCTTGAATTTTAAAATGTTTTCAGAAGTGATCACGTATAGAGCCCAGAATGCAGTGCACAGAAATTCAATTTTAAAATCAAAAATTGTTCCATAATCTCACATATAAACATCACAGCTAAATGAACATATGAAGACTTCCCAAATAAAACTTTGCTCCTTTTTTTGGAAACATGGATTATACCAACCATACCCTCATGGTGGATCATGTGCCATATATATAGACCTTCAGAAAAGGCATACATGTTGAGGTTCACCACTGACATTTTTCTTCATTTAAGTTGAGCTACACAGCAAATAATTCCAGTTTCCTTTCAGTGTTGCTGTAAGTTACTTTGTTATAGAAATTATCAAAGACAAAAATGAGTGTATTTCATTTACTGTGCATGTTTGGAAATAAGGAGCAAGCAAAATCTATGAATACTAAGAGCAGGAGGGCTAAAATTGCTGAGGTATTCAACTGTCAAATAATTAAAGGAATATGTACAAATAATGCGCTTTTTTCACTTACTAAAAAGCTCAGTTACTTAAGCATAGATGTTTTATGTCATTTGAGATGTTGCAGAAAATCTCAGACAGTCATGTTTGAGTGGTAGAGATTACAAGACCTGCAGTTCTGCACTCTTTGAAAGCGACAGCAAGAGGCAAAGCAGCAGTTGGTTACCTTATAGGAAGCATTCAGTGGCATTTTAGATAACAGAATCCCAAACAAATACTCTGCTGTCAACTCAAAAATGTCTCCTATTAAGCAGAACATATATTTACAAGAACAAGACCTTGCTGCTTCCAGAGGTCGACAAATATGTTCTGAAAAGCATCAGGTTGATAACAATCAGCCATTACCAGTATCCGGCAACATAAAAATCCAAAGGACATATTGAAAGTTGGTTCATACTAAAGCATGCATGATCCTAAACCAAAACACAGCATATGTCCCAGAATGAACATACATTGTGTGATTGGTACAAAGAACCAATACTTAGTTTGGTAATGTCACCCTCACGATGTGATAAGGGTTTGAGACTATTACATGACTATAGATCTGGAACTTGCTTATTGTTGTGGGTAACCAGAAAAGAAAGTTAATTTTCATAGCTCCCATCAATCACCACCAGAAAGACAGCACCCTGGTAAGAGCTTTGGGCATAGATAAATAGAAGTACTTCTCAATTTTTTATTTCTTTGCATAAACAATTAGAAAACTTTGAAAAGAAAGACTGCAACTAAGAATTGTGTTCAAGACAGAAAGGGAGAAAGCTCTCTGCCAATACAACGGAGGAAGAATATGACATTAGCAGAAAGCATCAGCTCTGTAGAAATGCATAATTTCTGTGTGGAAAACAATGAAAAGAAATGCTTTTCCTTGTATCTGAATATGGAAATTTTACTGGGCAATGAGATCATAGTATTTCCTCTTTTCCTAAATTGGGACTGTGTTTAGCTGAACAAAAAATTAAGAATGAATTAAGAATTAAGAAATTAAGAATGTGCTGCATCCTGATGCTTTACACAAATGGCAAAAGTAATATTCATTTTTTAGAGGTATATGCTATTTATAGGAATATAGGAATAGCTATAGATACAGGCATATAGATATAGAAATCCTGATGCTTAATTAAAAATAAAATCCCTTTAAAGCAACATACTGGACACTTTCAAGATACTAGAACATTACTTTAGCTGATGAGTTTTCTTGAGAAATACAATTTTGTCAGCAGACATCATGCAGAGACAAGGTCCGTATAACTATTCTGTAGTTTAGCATGACAATATACAGCATTTTTACATTGGGTGGAATTATGCTAATGGAAAGAGCTTTTAGTATATGGTCTTACTGTTTCTAAACGGGGAAAAGGAATATTTATGCATATTAAGCCACAATTCCTGAGTGCACTGAAATACCACTGCTCTGTAGAAGCTTGAGGGTATGATTTTATTAAGGGGAAAAACGAAACAAACCCCTTCTCCCACTCCATAGTTATCCACTGTGAACATTATGCCACTGAAACATGGGAAACTACATTAGTTACAGGTATTAGTTGGAAAAATGCATTGAAAGAGTAAAAATATATGTCAATACTCTGACTAGCTGGCAGTTTGTGGAGTACACACCATTTACTGAGTTCTGTGTCACCAGTTTATAGCTCAGCGTCAATTCTTCTCTTTCACAATTATTACATCTAAGTGCTTGTGCTGAGAAGCAATGGGGGAGCGCTGAATCAATTAGCCTGCCGTCTGCCTTCATCTGCTGTTCCAGGGGGAATATCAACCCACAAACGATAGAATTTGATAGGAAAGTCACTTGTACGGAATCCTACACTGGCATGGTTTTAGCAGCATATTATCCACATAGAACAGAAGAGCAAGAAAAGATAGCTGGGTAAGGAAATACACATGCTTAGTTCAGCTCCAGAGCACATAACATTAATTCACACTCATTTATTAAAACTTGCATAGCAACAGTATGGCCTGCCAGAAGGAACAGCCACTTCTCCCTGCAGCAAAGGCACATCCCATTGCCTAGGGCTAGCAACAACACAATTTTGCTGCAAAACCCTACATTATTTTTCGCAGAAACTAAACATAGTTTTATTCTGATAATGACAGCACATTCTCACTCACACCTGCTGACTTGAGTGCAAACACAGCCACCAGTTTTGCTCCCACACGCGCTACAGAAGTGGCGCAGCACCAGAACTCCTCAATGGCTTACACTCCATCTTTCCTCCTCCTCAGCTGCTGCTTCTTTATCCCGGTACCAGAACACTTTGGCCAACATTCTGGAAGCCTGTTATATGGAAGCCTTTGTTATATTTTTCTCTAGCAATGGTATCTGTATAAACTTAGTGCAGTTTGTAGAGGTTTGCTCCTAAAAAGGAGAACATTCCTAGAGTCTCTGCACTGTGTCTAAAAACATGCCTGAAGTAGCTTATCAGAAAACCTCCCAAAGATGCAAGAACTGTGTTAAATGCTGTAACATATTGATCAAGGAAAGGAAACAACATAGAACCCCCAAGTGGTCATCAAACCAGATCATGAATTTGGTTAATAACAATAAGCCCCCTATTTTTGAAGTACTTGACTCTTGTTATTAATGGTATTTATCAAATACATATGCAAACAAAATAAGTCTCTTTTCTCTCCCTTCCTTGTCCACAGGAAGCATACTATTGTACCTGGAGGGATCTTTCTCAAAGCTGTGAGAAGTTCTTGGTGTTTGTAAGATGTCTTCACTGAAGTAAACGGAAAGGCCTTGTTTGGAAGGCAAGGTGTATGAGATGCAGCTGAAGTCCCCTGGTTGGTTCAGAACAGAGCAGAGGAGCTGAGGGGAGGCCTGATGGCAGCTGCAGCCCCTCACAGGGAGCGGAGGGGCAGTGCTGAGCTCTGCTCTGTGTGACAGTGACTGGGCCCGAGGGAACGGCATGGAGCTGTGTGAGGGGAGGGCAGCTGGGGGTTAGGGATGGGTGCTGCTACCAGAGGGTGGTGGGCATTGAATGGGCAGCCCAGGGCTGTGGGCATGGCCCCAAGTACCAGAGATCATGAAGTGTTTGGATACCACTCTCAGACACAGA